CACAGCCCGCGGGACGAGGCGGCGAGCGTGCACCCAGCGCTGCGCGCTGCTGGACGGGCAGCTGTCTCCCAGCCGTGTCGCCCAGCAGGTGCTTTGAAATCCTCACCACAAACTTCATAATGACTTAAGCTAATTGTGTAAGCCGGTCGGCTATCGATTGCTCATTGCAGAGGGGTAGCTCCTGTGGCAGGGCAGCTGTCTCCCAGCCGTGTCGCCCAGCAGGTGCTTTGAAATCCTCACCACAAACTTCATAATGACTTAAGCTAATTGTGTAAGCCGGTCGGCTATCGATTGCTCATTGCAGAGGGGTAGCTCCTGTTTGCGTGCCTTGTCCTTCCTTATGCAATGTGCTGTTATAAAGGGAAGTGGCTCCCATTTTCCCTCAGTGGCGTTTGTGCAATCCAGGGGCCTGCCTAGGACTCCTCGATACTTTATGGAGAAAATTGCAAAGCTGCCTCTAAGGCCACCGGCTCTCCTTGTGGCTGTCTTGCCACACTCTGCATCCCTCACCTTTACCACGGTGCTGGTGGCCTGTCCCAGGGAGCATGCAGTAATGATGCCATGTGTGAGTGTAGGGTCCTGGGGGGGATTTCAAGAGGGCTTTATTCTCACTTCCCCACAGCTAGGGTTTGGTGACACAAGCATCCCTTTAGCAACATGATGTAGTGAGTGGGCTCAGCTTGTTTTCTGCCCCTTGTACCGGAATGCCAAATTCTGGAGTCATCAAACCCAGTGTTAATTCTGGAGTCATCCAACCTGGTGTTAGTTCTGGAGTTGTCAAACCTGGCATTAAGTTCTGACTGCAGGACCTTACTCGGGTCACTTGACTTCTCTGCGCCTCCATTTACCTGTGCGTTGGGTTGGGTTGAGGAGTGTCCCTGTCCTTCCTTCACTGAGGCGCTATCAGGATTGATTACTTACCTTGTATAAAGTGATGTGGAAGGACTAAGTCATTGCAATATTTCGGGTTTCAGTATGAAGGTGTGTGTCCGTGGGGAAATGCTTCCAATCATGAGGTGATGCCATTCGAGGAATCAAGAGCTGCTGAGAACAAGTAAAGATTGTGCAAGTGTTGAGATGCTTGGTTACTTTTTCGGTAATGCCCACTCATTTGGGAGTATTTTCACTTCTGGATGCTCACCTGGGAGATGATAAGGCTTATAGACAGAAGTTTATGCTTGTACATACAGCTCTGCAGGAAGTCACATACTCGAATCAGGTCTTCTCTACTTGTCCCAGTGCAGCTAGACACAAAGGCAGTGGGGATCCCCGTGGTGCTGTCCAGATCTCAGTACAGAAAAACCACCGGCCTGCTTTCTTCTTGCCAAAACATTGGGTGTCAGCTGTGACCACATGGAAGAGCACCTTCCTCAAATAATGCCAGGAGACTGCATTCATAAACGATGCAGTAACACGAAACCATCACACATTAAAAATGGTTGGCTTTTGAGTGGTGAGGAGAGTGCATTCACAAGCTCATCGCAAAGAGGAACTGGAGTGAGTTTGATGGTTTTGTCAGCTCATGTGTGCTGCTCACCTCTGCCCTCACCAATGCTGATGCCAGCTGCATTATGTTTTTTTGTCTTGGCCTAAGAGAGAACAGAAATCACCCTAAGTTTTTTGTTTTTCTTTAGTGGTACGGTGTTAGGTGATGCCCAAGGAGCTCTTCTTAAAACACATCATCTTTCCCTCTGCTGTAGAAGGAGCCACTTTATTTATTGAGTGAAAATAAATTTAGTGGACACAAAATCAGGTCCGCCGGTCCTCTGTGCCAAAGCGTGAGTTCTTGTGAGGAGATTGGTTATTATTATGTCTTTGTTTTGTTGCTCTTTTTAATTGAACTTTTTCATTTCTGAATAATTAAAGAGAAAGACTTAGCCCTTTGGCTAGCTGCTTTGCCTTGTGTTTGTCCTTTTTGGCTTGTTTTCCAGAAACTAGAATAAAGGCCACATTTGTTCTGTTGGCCTCGGAGGAATTGATTGGAACAACCTGCAGTATGAGGGTATGATGGGGGGAAGGAGGTCCCATACTTTTAAGGAACTGACCGTCCATGCCTTTCTGTTTCTGTGCCACGTTCTCCTCTCGCTCCACAACAGCCCAAGAGGGTGTTGAATGGCCTGATTACACCACCAAAAAGGCAAAACTGGAGGTGAGGGAGCCAGGAGCTTTGCCCCTGCTGTCAGACTATGGGACAGCTATTTCTGTTTCTTCTAGGGAGGCGTTCTCCTGCAGAAGAGGTCCATCCACCTTTGCACCGCCCAGCAGCCTAAGGAGCAAAGTTGCCTTCCTGGGCAGCACTGTGTCATCCACCCCAGTGGGAGCTTCCCCATGGTCCCCCTCTGCAAAGGCCCCGGGTGGGTGTTGCAACCTGACCTACTGTGTTTGTTCTTCTGAAAGAGGGAGAGGTCTGAGCCAAATCCATCCCCTCACCCTTGCGGTTTTGTTAAATCATCCATGCAAAATGGGCACTGCTGAATATTTGTACCAACCTCCCTGACAGGAAAGCTCTTGAGGTTTCATGCTTATTCCTGAAGGCCTGAGCTTACAGATCTGATGGTAGCAGCTGGAGTGAGATGATAAATATTTGTGTCCCACTGAAATAAAGCTGAGAGATATGAGTTACTGAACTTGACTGGTTGACCAGGTACAAAAAACCTTTTGCAAAAACAGTTTGCAACTAGCTATTGCCTTCCTGTTCTGGGTTTGTACAGCCCTTTGCTGGGACTCTTAAAATATTGAGAATTGTATATGAATTAAAAAGAAGTGGCACGGTGCGTACACCATTTGGGTGGATCTGCCCAGCCCAGCCACCAAAGCCATGGCTGAGAACTGGCAAACCCAGAACTTCATCTTAATCCGAGCACCTTGTATCTTACAGCCACTCCCTTTGATGATTTAAAGAGGTGTATCTAATTCTTAGCTGGCCTTCACCGAAAAGGAATGCAGCACGATCGCAATTTTGGTGTGGTGTAATTACCCTGCCTTTCTTGCCCCATTACCACTGACATTGCTCCTCATCACGCCTGGGTTTATAGGCTGACTTGCAACCTCTCTGCTTTGGTTTTTTTTTTTAATGACATTGGTGAGAAGATGGGAGGTGTTTGCTGGTTTCATGGAAGCTTCCTTTGGTTTCTGTGTGGCAAGGCACTGAAGAAGTCCTGGTTTTCGTAAGGCTCTGAAAAAGCTGAGTAATAAGATAAAGAAGAAAGTCTGGCAGTAAGTTTTATTCACATGAGCAAGCAGTGGCTGGAGCCAAACGTTTTACGATGTTTTAACTGCAAAATAGTCCAGAGGATTTCCTCCCTTTCAGAGTTACTGTTGGACTCTCGCAGTGCTGATATACAGCTGGCAGGTTTGGGGCACCAAGCCCAACCTTGCAGAAACTCACCCGGTGCCCAAAGCAGGGGTTTGGAGTGGCTGGTGCTGATGACCTGCCATCCAGTTGAGGATGGAAGTCAGCGGCGGACGGGAAAGCAGAGTGGGAGACGCTGTACTTCCCCTCTTGCTGTTGCTTCAAAGCGTTCAGCTACTGCATGCCAGGACTAAAGTGCAGGGTGACCTCTTCACACACCACATACCCATGGAAGTGTTCATAAGCCTGCCCTCCCACGCTTGCTCACAGGAAATACAAATGACCGATATTGGTATGGATAGTGCCGGGAGGGTGTGTGATGCACCTGTGCGTTTTCACAGGGTAATGCTGTCCGGTTCTCAGGGACGGATGCAGGAATCTGGCACCCAGAGCAGCACCCACCTCTTGATTTGCCTTTTTGTATTGGCTAACATTTATACAGATCATTTCCCAGTTTAAAAGTTAAAACTTGACATTTATTTCTTGTGACTTTCTTTGTTGTTGATCACTGAGATGTTCTGGTCTGAGCCTTGCCCTTAAGGATTCAAACTCTCACTGTGCATGAGTTCAGTAGTGAAGTCAGGTTTCTGGGGCTCTCGGGAACAGTGATCGAGTAAACTCGTGTGCAGAGGTGGGCCTGGTGAGTGAGTCATTTGATCACACACAGACCTGCTGCATGTCTGCTGCAAAACGTATATATCAGAAATATTTGTCTTGCAGATTATTTACTGGACTCTGCACCAGGAGCCAAGGGTACATGCTTAAATGCAGATCAGATGAGGCATTATTTATTGGCTGATGACTGATCATATTCAGGATCTTTTAGCTCTTCCAATCCCTTTCACAGAGAATCGATACCCAAACGCATGGGGCAGGCGGCTGTACTACCTGCAAACCTGTGATGGGAACTGGAGGCATCTGCAAGGGACAGACTGGGCTTGGAGGCTGGTTTTTCCTACTGTATCTTATGTAGGGCCTCCTGTGTGTTGCCGCCTCTCACGCTATTAATGTGACTCTCATGATTTTAGCTCTTTTTCCTTTCAGTTTCAGTTCTGGGGTCTTTGACATTTCACAAATACCTGGCGTTTATTTTTTCACACATTTATTTTTTCTGAAGAGGCAATTTCTAGCTTTCGAATATGGAGAGCAGTTTGAGAATATAGCTACTTTCATAAGAACTGAAATCCAGCGGCAAATAAAGAGGAGCCGTTACATATATATTTTAAAGATTGTGATTTTTAGGCTGGCCTCATGAATTTTGGGGAGGGGTCAGCTCATCATGCCTGTAAGGTATCTGCCAAAGGATGTGGAAGAAGACTGCAAAAGGGCTTTTACCCGTTAAGCATCAGCATGCCAAAAGGTCTTTCTACATACGTTTTGAATTACTAGTGATTGTTCCATCTGGAAGAGGCTTCCTGTTACTTTATATGGTCTGAAGGACAGGGTGGGGGGTGTTTACTATAATTAGAAGCTTCAAAGAAAATATTCTCTATTTATAAGTTGAAAGACCTATCTTATTATTTCAATTTTTACTATGCTTTTCTGCTGACAATTATTTTCTCTTTCAAATGTATTCCGGCAAATGAAAGCTTGACCATGAGAGGATCAGATCTCTACATTTTAACTGCCAGCCCCAGCAGTTAAAGCTATATGCAGAGGAGATCCTGCACTCAATTGCATGTGGGCAAGGCAGTGTCTCAGTGGATATGCTGGGGTATATGCTGGTTGGTCCAAACCGGTGTGCTGGTTTTGTGCATTAGGAGCAGAGCCCAGTGAAAATGCAGCCAGTATCTGACTGAGTCCCAAAAATCTGCAGGTGCAGCTCTGAATGAACGCACAAGACTCTGGTGACTGCTCCTCATTCTCCAAGAGCGACTTCAAAAGACCTGGGCTCAGTCAACACATCTGCCTTGGCGGGAACCAAGGCCAGTCCTGAGAAGAAATGGGTAGATGGAAACTCTGCTTTGGACCAATGCAGCTTTATTGCGTCTCCCTGGGTAGGTAATTAAGCAAGGGTTTTACTGCCTTTGCACATAGCTTTCTGGTGCTGAATTCTCACTGAGGTGTTGTTACAGTCTGAACTCATCTTCCCGTTTGGATCATATGAGGAATCGTCCATTAGTAACACTTTGCTCTGACAGGTGTCCTGCTGTGTGCTGCGGCAGTTGAAAGTAAACTAAATAATTAACTTAGGAAGCAAGTTACATTGAGTACATGACTTAGAAAATGGAAAAGAACAGGACTATTGCAACAGTGAACCATAGGGTAGATTGCAATTGCAACCTTGGACAAATGTGTTCTTCCCTATAGTTTCTAAGCATTGCACTTGGCCATCTGTTGTTTCAAAATTACTTTCTGACCCACAATTATCTTCACAGGGAAGGTCAGTCTAAAGTGTTTTCTTTCTTTTTTTTTTTTTTTTACCTCACAGGGTTGTTTATTGATTTCCATTTTTAAAAATAAAGTTGAATAAACAAAAGAAAAATATGGCAATGTCTTATCTAGCATTTAAAATAGAGAGAACACCTATATGTGCTACAGCACGCTTCATCGGTGGACATCAAAGTGTCTTACAGAGGTCATAATCCTCATTTCCAAGATAAGGAAACAAAGGTGGTGAGATGGAAAGTGAGTGGCTTAGCAGGCCAGTGGCAAAGCGGGACAAGAGTCTCCCGAGCCTGTACTGCGGGCAGAGATGAGGGAACAGAGGAGACCAAACCTCTCCTAACTTAATCAGGACAGCTCAGGTCCCAAGTGCAATGAAGGCACAGTGACACTGCAGGAAAAGTAGCATATTGTGCCACAAGCTGTGGAGCCAGCGAAGCCTGATTTCCTGTAGTTTTGTGTCTAAAGAGTAGTCTGGGGTTTGTCTGATGTTGGCTTTTGATGGTGCGGTCATGGGGTGCCACTGTGGCCTTTCCCTCACCAAAGGCTCTCTTGGAGATCTGGCTCCTCAGCTTTGGCGTCTGCTTTCACAAAACTTGCGGGTGCTTGAGGATTTTTGAACCCTCTGCCTTTGTGCCAGACATAATCAGAATGAGCCAGTCAAGTCACAGGGTACACACGCTTGCATGCACATGCACGCACACACAGACATACATGTTTTGGCACCATAATATAGGATATATATATATTTATCATAATGTATCTTACCCCACACAACTTTGCAATCAGTCAGCACTTATTGTAAAGTCTGTACTTTTAAACTTATTTTTTCTTTGTAGAGTCCTGCAAGCAGATAAAAGGTGGTACAGCAAGGATGTTCATGGTGTTGATTTGGTAGCCAGCATTGTTTAATCTTACTGGAAAAAGGGAGATGCTAGGGGACTTCCAAGGGGAGACACAAAATTGGACTTCCAACTCTATGTAACTGCATCTTTTTTTTGAGCCCTCAGAGGCTCACTATGAAGTGAGACCCACTTAAGTTATTCCTTTGATGAATGAATCCTACCTTTTGGTGAGCAGGTTTATGTATGCCTGCAACCATACTGCCTTGGGACTTTGTCCTGTTATATCTTGTAACCCAGAGAGGGGGAGGTTGAACAAGGTTTTGGTGAGAAAATCCGAAGTAGTGATTTTCAACCCTTCTTGATTTTGAACTCTGAAAATGTTTTGAATGGCTGTTCAGCCTCCTTGACCGTAAATTGAAACCTACTGGTAATAGGTTGCTTTCCTTTGCTTTAATGGTCTCCTTGAAAGTAGGCCATGGATGCCACAGGTCAGCAGACCAAAAGTTGGAGACAGCTGCTCTGAAGAAAACCCACGGTATTTCGGGAGTGCTTCCAGTGGCTCAGCTGCGCGTGTGCAAAGACGGCTGCCCCTCGCGCCGCTTCCTTGCGCAGGGCGCAGCTGGACGTGCTGTCCTTGGGAGGTCAGCTCTTGGCGCAGGGAACAGTCTTGTCACAAGCTATGCTACACAACTGATAGTTATTGTTCATGATAACTGCTTTGAAATAGATTGCAGTGTAACCTTCTGATTAACAGCACATCCCTGTCTGCTTTCTGTTTCTGCAGACAAGTGTTGCAAAAGATGGGTAGCAGAGGCAGGTTGTCTACCTTTGCCGTTCACCTCCTTTGACCTTCAGCTCTTTCTTCTTGATGAAGCCCACGTTACCCATCAATTAAAAAGACGCAGCATTGTGTTCTTAGCCCACAGGAGCATTGTGAGAGTTTTCATAATAAACTTTTCAAGATCATCAAATGACACGTGCTATATAAATGCGGATTAATGTTGCTAGAAAGCCTGCCGGTTCTTTACCTTGTGTGTCTCTTCTGTGGTGTCTGCCAACAGAACTGAATACATTTGCTGCTCAGATTAATAGTCTCAAATGTAGTATCAACTGGACACACTGTTTTTTCTTTATGTTTTAAATATTATGGCACATTGTACCATGCAACCTATAATACTGTTTAGCATCTCTGTTATTAGTGCATCTCCTCACATTTTTGTGGTTACAGGTCTCAGAGGCGTTATTTATGGGCAGACCTCAAAGACCTAGTAGTACTTCAGTTTTACAGATAGGAAAACTGAGGCCCATTTTCCAAGCAAAAACTCTGAGCCAGTGGCGCTGAAACTAGGTCTCCTACCTCTGACATGCTTTCTGTCCAAGCACGTAGAAACACTGTGTTTTCAAAAGCACTGAAGACTCTAAATTATAGGACGTCAACACAGAGTTTGCAAGTTAAAGTAAATTTGCTAAACAAAGTTGTTTCTGTCTGTACGTTGTGAGTGGAACGTTTACTAGGTGCTCTGGTGGGTGGGATCCCTGTGTGTCTGGTTACTCTTGGAGAGGTGTTTCATCTGGAGGGGAAAGCCTCCCTCATTACCAGTGACTCCCACTCTACTGGCTGGCTACTGAATGTTTTAGATCCCCAAGTACTTTATTAATAATTTTCTCTTAACACAGAGGCTTTATACTAGTTACCACTATGTTCCTCAGACCAACAATGCTTTATAGACTTGAAAGCTTGAGACTGTTGTTCATAAAGAGTCATTTGGAGAAAACGTACAGATGATAGTGGAGAAGGGACAGCTACCTAGAGGCCTCTCTTCTCCACACCTTACCAGGAGAACAGCCATGTTACTGGGCTAGACATCTTTCTCATCCTTTCCCTTTCACGAACCTTACCTTCTTCGCTATCCTGTGGCCTATGTCAAGAGAAGCGGGGGAATATTTCCCTCAGTCCTGATGATAAGAATGCTTTGAAAGGAGATGCTAGTTCAATCACTGCTAGGCTGAGGATGGCATTTCCTATCTCCTTCACCTTTGGTAGCGTCCTGATCCTCTTGATCAGCACTGACAATGTAAGAGGTAAAGCAAGGAACAAATCTCTGGTCTTGTGCCCATATACCAGATCTTTCCAAAATCCGCCTCAGGGAGGCAGGGAGGCCCCTTTTCTTAGCTTTTGTTACTGGTTAGGTGTTAATTGCAATTACCCACCTGTTGCTGCAAATCCTATTTTTAGATGCCTGCCTTTCCCTGTGGCTTATATCAGAGGTGCAGGTGATTAGCCTGGGTTTAGGACCTCCACGTCTGGAGCCAGGTACCTCAAAGGAAGGTGTGGAAGCTGCTGTCACCTACCTAAACCCTTTGCCAATCTGAGGCCCAAACACCAGAGGCGAGTAGTTGTTATTGATGGAGGACCTACCTTGTTTGCTTCTATAGCACTGAATAAATAAAGCCGGTTTCCCAGCTGTTCCTTCCTCCGAGTGTCTTCCAGCTCCTACCAACGTGTCCATGTCACTCCTTTTTCCTGATCTCCCCATCTTTGCTCTGTGGCTTCCTCCTGCACTTTGAGCTCTGGCAGGCAGCTCCCAGAGTGTCAGTATCTTCTCAGCTGAAGAGGGCTTTCCAAGGGCAACCTTGCTTTGAGTTGCTTGAATGTCCTGAATGGTGGCCTCTACAACCTTCTTCCCAAAGCCATCTGTGGTAAAAAAATGAAGTTTTTGCCCTGTGTTGCAACGGCCACGTTTAATAGTTAGTTTAATATTGAGGTCACTAGCTACTCCTTACTAGCATGCCCTATTCCTAAAGAAGCACTATGCCTTTTAAACTAGGACTGCTGGAAGGCAAGGGCATTTACTGACCAAACCATCTGCAGAAGAGTTGATCTTTCCATTTGCCCTTCAAAGCCAATGTTGCGATATTTTCCCAGAGTCCATGTCCTGAATAGCACATTACAGTGGTCCAGAAATGGACGTGGTTCCTGTTGCTTGTTTCAGTAGCTGCAGTGATTTCAGCGACTTTGTAAAAAAGAATTCAGATGATCCATCAAGGTATTTCCAAAAGCAGAAAAGTGGAGTGATGGGGCACACAAAACCCCATTATGGAAGTAGTACAGTAGTTAAATGGACGGACCCTGTGAATATTCTGTGTCAATATAAAATAATGATGGTGCTGTACTAAGCTTTTATTCCGTTAGAGCAACTCTATCACATTAATCTCCTCAGTGTTGTGCCAGAGAATGCTGCATAGCTTTTTTTTTTTTTTTTTTCAAATGTGTAAATCCACATCCTAATCTAGCAGGCTTTCTACAGCACAAAAGTGTCAGCAAGATACAGGTGAATCTTTCTCCTGTGTGGTCTGACAGGGATATATATCTTGTCTTCTTTGCCTGTGGTACAGCTCCTTTAGAAATACTTTTTGTGGAACAATGTTACTTGGGGAGATAGTTATTTTTAATGGCAGTTCAATGTTGTCTGTTAAAGGCCTAGTATAGTAGGGGCACATGTGATTATGCTGGCATAAAAACGTTTGTGTGGTTCGGGGAACCACTATCAGTTATGCTAGCAACAGCATTTTTTCTTTGTATGTCGGGAAAGCTGGTACTGTAATTGAATAGAACTGTAAATAAAACAAGCCTGGCACTACTTTTCATTCACAGGCCCCCAATTCAGATAAGTCCTCACCATCACCATACAGACAGGGAAATGGGAACTGCGAGGGGTCAAGTGGATTGGCGTCCAGCTCATCTCATGACCTTCAGCTATCCACAG